CGTATGTTACGTGTTTACGTATTGATCAAATTAGAGTAGAACTACTATGCTGTCAATAGTAGGTCATGTAAGGCCAGCAAGCCTTTATACTTCAGTTGTATACCAGATTCCACCAAATACAATTCCCCAAACCTATAGTCTCGTCTCTGCCCATCTTCCTCCTTATATAGAGCTAGCCTGGACTTAGTCATACGACTAGCAAACGTAACAGCGTATCTCTTAGTAGTTTATATAGATTTATTGTTTTACATGCACCAACGTAAACTTCAATTAATAAATGCTGACTAAAGTAACATCAATATTTTCCAGTTGAGTTGAAGTGCAGTCGAAGGAATGGGTTCACTGTGCGCGTATGCATAATGAGTTAACGGATGAAAACTATATAATACTTTTATTGTGGTGCGAATATTCGAACTCATAAGTATACGTTTAGCTTAGGTTTTGATGTATCAAAATGTACTATTGGCTATACGGTATCAATTATTCAAATCATTTAAATGTTCCGTTAAATCTTCAACGCAGTTTGTCTCAGAGATAATTATCTTTTGCCTTCATTATAAGTTTCGAATAGTTGCAAGTTGTTAACAGTAAACACACAGCACAGGAGCAGCGACCAACAGAGAAGCAGTTCTGGTTTCGTGTGCCAGACTTTGAGATTCAATTGATTATTGATTCAATTTTATATCTTGCTTCGTGCTACTCAAAGCAGGGCGAAATTAACATCTAAATGTAACATTATATTTTTGAGGTACAATAAGGGGTTTCTTAAGCTGTTTGTGAAGATTGGGTTTCTTCTAAATGATGAAATTTTAGATAATTCTCAGTTCATTATACAAGTACAGAAATAACATGCTAGTTTGAATATCAAATTTCAACAGAATTAAAAAAAAAGAAGATGGCAGATAAATTGACTATACAAGAAAACGTTTCGGAGTACAATTAACTTGGAATCCCAAATTCACAGGTAAACATTGAAACCTGAATTAACAAATAATAAATGAATCAACTTAAAATACACTGAAGAAGACTGGCCTACCTATTTAAAATCCTATGAGGATAAGAACTGAGTGCGGCTTTTAAGCAAGGCTTTTATTTGAAAATATGTAATGTTCTAAAATTCGTAAATCGAAAAAACCGTTACAGAAGCTAAAAATTTTGACGTCGCTCTCGAACACAGGTACACCGTACGAACTGCTCAGCATGAACTAATACTGCTGAATGATGGGGCAACACAACTGTATTTGTTGACTAGGAAATCGCTCTGTTTCGTGTTGCAACGAGCGCCCCATTGATGTGCGACGTCAGTTACACCGTTGATATTCACTATAATGTTGTAGTTGTGATAGTGACTCAACCGATGCATCGATCAGGGCGTCGATGTTGAGCGATTCAGTATTAGGGATCTTAGGTATAGAATACTCATCCCATGATTCTTTCCAATTTTAGATATAATTCTGCTTGCATCACTCAAGTCTTCGGAGCTTTATCCTGCTCCTACCTGGAGGTAGTGGTTTGATTTTTTTTGCCGTACTCCAGCCGATTTCTAGTTTTATTCTATTTTTATTATTATTATTAATTTGCTGGATATAAAGCATTACGAAGTAACTAAAATATACTACGAATTAGATTCTCACAATGATGAAAAATTGAAATTCATAAACTTTTTCTTGTATTTTGTTAAATATATCGCTTTCCTACATCATGGTGGGACATTTTATTCAAATTTACCATCAGAATTTTGGTTAAGCGAAAAATTTGACCTTAATCATATTTCTCGGGATCTTTCGTTGCTTCAATTGTTCGGTGGAGTCCATATACAAACTTTTATGTTGAGAAAAAAACCGGGAAAGAGATAGATAATCATCGTGTCTATTAAAAAAAATAAACTCACTGCTCGCACAAAATTCCTTTGGATCGCTTTCAAAGTTGTCAAGTGAATACATGTCTGATTTCCCATCTTTGAATTTTCATGAAATAAGTTTCAATGTAATGCACGTATTTTAAAATTATCTCGAATACCAGAGCAAAGCCACAAGAAAGCTATTTGGCCGGAAAATAGATGTGGTATACTTGTTAGTGTTTCGTTACATCATGAAAAACTGTAGTTAATTTTTTAATGCTTCGCTGCCTCTCAAAAAATTGTTGATTTAATTGTGTTTTATTACCTCACAAAGAATCTGTGGTTCACTTAAATGTTTCTCGTTAGAAAATGGAAGGATCTTTGATATTCTTAATATTGCGTATCGTCCTGCTAGTTCTCGTATAACTTGGATTATTTTTTTCTGTAAATTATTACAAATAAAGTAGAACGACTTTAATGAAGAAAGCTTCGTACCTTCCTGCCTGGTGAACGACGAAACAAAAATTACAAATTGTTCAGATGAAAGCGATGATATACATAAATTATATATTTTGTTGGTTTGAAGTTCTTGGCAGTTATAAAATACAATTAAAAAACATTGGAGAAAGTAAAAGGGGAAGCATCGGCCTTATCGTTGGAGGCCATAATGAACACCAACCACAAATAAACTGATATCTTTTTATATTACGTACCCAATCGGGTATCAGGTGATCATGTTTATGTATATTATTTAAATGCCACTGTAATTTTACTCGATCGCGATCAGAAGCTACGTACAGATGCGCAGCTCTTCCCTGAAGGAAGCTACGTCATGCGAAGCTTGGTCCGCCCCCCGCGTCAAGTGCAAGCCCTCCGACCAGCGTGTTTGATGGCTGGTAATTATTCTCCTATACATCGAGCGCTGCAATCATCTTCACCGTCTTATATGCGTAACGCGTCTACCTTTATGGTAGGATTAAGCGAGAAATCCTTCAGTTAGCCGTTAAACATGCGTGCAGGAGCTGGTGCATGATTTTATCTAATGTCTTCAAAATCGGTATTATGGGGATTTGCAAGATGAATTCTTGATGAGGTATTATGTGGCTTGCAACAGACGATTAAAAAAATATGTATATATCTAATTAACGCACGTACGTATATTGTCCTACGACTGATTTACCACAATCAGACCTTTATCTCGAGCAATCTTTATTGTAAATTTGCTCAAATGCAGATTCATTTATGAAGAATGAATAAAATTCATTTTCCCCAATTAGTCCAACATACTGTTATTCCTAGAGGCAATCTGATACGCATATCATATATAATATATTGACCTTCATCAACTATTAATTCCAGATATTCATATATAGATAAAATTAATTTACAAGCATTGGAGAAAGGCAATTATAACGGGAAATATGGGGAAATCAATACACTACTAATTTGAATATATATTTTTTCTTTGGATCTGACAACGTTTGCTTCGATTGGTCCTCTTAAACTACCAGATTACTCGTAAAAATTAGATTTCCTCGCATAGTATAATGAATGAAAAGAGCCCTAATCTAGAAAAGCTAAAATACATGTATTATCTGAACTTATGAGTATGAAATTTGTTGACAAGTTTTTTTTCAAAATGAATCACCGTCATACAACCTTTTTGGATGCAACGCATAATAAATGGATGAAAGCTAAAAAATTGTCTGACGGACGTGTGACGAATGTGATGCATTAAACAGTGGAATGAGAAAATTCCTTTTGCAAAAGTTAAAATACGGACCATGGATGCCAGTTTGAGCAAATGAACATGTCCCCGTTTTGTAAAGACTATGGACATTATCATTGGGGAAATGTAGATACAACATGTAATATAAATTACCAGTTTCTTCCGAATCCGCTAGAGATAAAACAATGCCACAGATTGACCAGAATGCTTGTTTGGGTATTGATAATAATATTATTGTTTGGCTAGCCAAGTATTATTTTTTAACGTTATGACGTAGTCTAGTCTTCTGCAGTATTTGTCAACAAAAAATATGAGTCATCCACTACACAATACAAATTCTGACTTTCGATCATTGAACCTGTTGATGGAAAATATACTTTATATCCAGCTATTGAAATTATTAACCGGTAAAAGACATAATTTGGTAATCAAAAATTCTATTCTAATCTTCAATCTAATACCTTAATTTCCAGTTCTTTCAGACTGCCTGAAACCGTGCTGTTTCCAAACTAAAGAACTTCCATACTTCAGGTACTTGATATCAAATACGAGTAGTGATTGTTTATTGGAAACAAGTCAATCCACGTTTCTTGGACAGTGAAGGCCGTTTCCGCAGCTTAGAACAGCATAATTTTCAAGAAGCTCTGAAGGAAGAGAGACGTCAAAAGTTAAATTCAGGCTTTAAAACATTCAAAGGATCACTTATGAGACATTAAAAGTCTAATCATTTAAAATGCGAGAAACATACGAACATACACACAATTTACTAAATGTCCGTCATGCATGGTTACATTGCAATTATAATGCGAATGTAGGCATTGCGTTAATTGTTGTGCACTTGAGAAGCCAAATTTATAGTTATAGCGATTAATGTGCCATCAGTTAAAAAAGAAATAAACCAAAAATTTCCATTGCGTCTTGGCATTGAAAGGCGATATATCGATTTGATTGGGCATTACGAATTTTGCACATATATCAATTTTATTTATGTCAACAATAAACAATTATTACCTCCTGTGAATGCTGGAACTTCCGCAGTCTTGCCAATCTCTCGGCAATTAAAAGTTCAATGAGACTTTCAATCATTCAGTTCATTAAACTTTAATCATGCTACCATCATGCTAATGGCAGCTCATACCACACAGCATTTCCAGTGGTGAAATAAAATTATTAATCAAGTTTAGTGAAGGCACGAGCTGACCGAAAAGAAATGCAACAATTGTTTTGTGCCTGGATTTTTACAAATGTTTTACCAATAATTATCAGATGCTGGGCTTGGATCGCTGGCTTTATCATATATATTTTATGACCAAGCATTAAAACATGTCCCTGCATCCTCTTGTATAACATTTGGATTCATGGGCACTACTTACTTGATCAGATTATTTGAGAATCAGGACTCATGTGCCCAGCAGAACAACGTCTTCGCTTCTAGTGCAGCAGATCGGAGAGAGCGTTGATGTACGTCTGTGCCATCTGAAGAGTCTCAAACTTGGACAGCTTCTGGTCTCCAGTGAGGGCCGGCACCACCTCCCTCAGTCTGTCAAAGGCTTCGTTGAGGCCAGTCATTCTCCTTCTTTCGCGGGCGTTGGCGGCCAAACGACGTTTCTTCAATACCTCGCGGCTGGTGAGTTTGTTTCCTTGCCTCTTGCACGCTGCAGACGAAGATAATGAGGAGCAATGAGCTCCAGTGCCATAAAATTTCAACTTGGGTGCAATTTTTTTCGTTTCTGTTTCAACGATGGAGTTGCGGTTATAGTTTTTGGGTTTCAGTAGGTGCTTTTCAGCGGAGTTGATTGGGTCTGTTCGCGATATATGAGTTTCTTCTGAAGTCCCAAAGCACCAAGAAGACGGGCACAGAGGAGAAGAAGACGGTGAGCCATTAGACGAACACGGACTAAGCGAAGATCTGGTGCTTGGTCTGAACAGTGATGGCAGTCCTGGACTTCCTAGTGACTGGGCTGAATTTTGGCTGATGTGAAATGAAGATTCAAAAGTATAAGGAGAGAGCTCACTGAAAAAATATCGACTTGCTGCTGGCGGACTACCTTCAGAATATATTCTAGACAAAATCCTAGGTTCAATTTCGTTATGCGTGTAAGGCGTTTCTGGCATCGATTTCAGTACATTTTGATTTAGTTCTTCCGTGTATGAATTTGAATCTTGGATGTTCTGTTCAAGTGATAACTTTCGATTGTCTTTAGTTTTATAATAATCATTAAAGCTGCGTTTCTCAGTCTTGGAGATATGATTGTTGAAAAATGTTCTGTGAACTAAATCTTCTAAAGTAAAGTGCTGATTTTGTGGGTTTCCAACTGCACTGGAAGAGACTACGTTCCGCACGAACCTGGCCCGCTGAGAGTCACTGGAAGCCACACACACAGACACAGCCATAACTGCGGCCGCAAAGTTGCCACTGTTGCGGTCGTTCACAAATGCCCAGCTTATATCCTGACCACCGGGCAACCGCAGCCAGCACTAGCCAACAGCAGAAGCTCGTCCCAGGATAATTGAGTCACGTGGTCATTCTTCCAGCCAATAGGGAGCAGCGAAAAGACGAGTGTACACCACCGCTGGCCATGACTTTAATTTTTGTGTGTAGGTATTACTGTTGGGCACGAGACCAAAAAATGGATTTTTTTATGAACGGATTGGGTAGTCAAGCGCAAGAAAAAGGCACCTAAAAATAGAATGTGCTAGGGGCAGCACCGAATGATGGAGTAGCGGTTAGCAGCCATTATCATAATTTGATAGTTTTCAGCTGCGATATGACCTTAAATTTTAATGAATATTCCTCATGAAGAAGAATCTATTGTTTTGTTGGACTATTCAAAATTCATGGACTCCTATTTAGTTTCATTCGCTGTTCCCTCTTTTATTATCTTAAATTTTCAATTCAAAAATCCGATCGAAATAAACATGTGATTAATTGGTCCAAATTAAAATTTTTAATGACTAATGAAATTTGTCAGCAGTATTATTTCCCCACAATTCTTTATAAAATTGACTTTCTTTTATCATCTTTCATGAGTTAGATTCAGTGTACTTCTTTACTTTACGTCACATTACTTTACCTTACTTTACTTATCAACGGTAAATAATAGGATCGTTCATTGACTTAATTAAATAACCAAAAACATGGTATAGAGAGCCCACATGCCAAGCACATAGCCTATGCCTGATTTTTAAGGTACCAACTACTCACCTACTCGTACCATTACGAGCATAATGTTATAAGGCAAGCGTTGATGTCAAAAATAAAAAAAAATTCTTAATCGAACGCAAAAATTTCAAGTTTGTGCGTGCTTCAGTTTTTTTGCGTTAGCCAAAACTGGATGAACATTTTTTTATACTTTTTTACAGAGATTTATTTAAGAATAGCTATATTTATAGGGTATTATTCGCGTTGAACTGGACAATAATAAGGCATGCAGAGACCCCCATTGACTCATTGAGGGATCCCTTGCAGCGTGGTGGTACCTTCATTACGAGAAATAGGCGATGAGATGGCTGAGGATACATTGCCAATCATTTTTTCAGCATTTACTTGTTTTATTTCCTTTCACTCATTTGACTCTCATGAAAAAATTCTAAATGTTTTACATTATTTAAAATCTATCTTCTCATTTAATTTCCAAGCCACGACATTGAGAGGCACATCTCTCGATTGGTCAAGAAAATATCTAGCGGCTCTAGAAGCGATTTTTTCTTATTTATCCATTGTTTGATTTACATATTGTCAACGCTGGGGGAAAAGGGTGTGGGAGGGGTGTAGAAATAAATAAATCATAAAAACAAAAAAGGGTCTCTATAGTTGCTAGATATTTTTATTGCGAATTGAATGATTTGTCTCTCGATGTTTCAGCTCGTAAATCGAATAAGATGACAGACTTATAGAAGTCTCTCTCTTTTTCCCGTTTTCTACGCATTTCACGTCTTCCTTCATTTTCTAAAAAATACGAACGAAAAGATCTTGTATTAGTGTTTTCCATATATGAACGAAGTTTCAGAAATATCGGTCAGTAAATACCATATTTTTTACCAAAGCCGCTCCCTTCTAATTTGTATCGCATCACGTTCGCCTAGCTGTGTTGTGATATTCTCTAATTTTTGTAACCATTCAAGATTTTATACTACTGTGTGTAACGGCGCTACTACTACTGTGTGTAACGGCGCTACTACTACTGTGTGTAACGGCGCTACTACTACTCTGTGTAACAGCACTACTACTACTGTGTGTAACGGCGTTACCACTTCACAGAGAAGTAACGGCGCTACTACTTCTGCGTGTAACGGCGCTACTCTGCCCGTTCAAGCTTCACTTGAACGGGCAGGTGCTGAGAAGCGGCCATGAACGTCCGTGAGGTTTCTGCCCACTGCCTTCCGTCTGAAACTTGAAGTGCAGTCTCTGGGCAACTTGCAGGCGCAGTAGGCTTGGCCAAACCCATTCTTAACATGCTCGCATGAGACTATAAAGTCGACAAGACAATTCAGACAAGTCGGTCGCTGATTGCGATCGAGTGGCCAAACAGACCCAGATTAACCTTAAGCCAACTATAGCGAGTCTGTCGCAGAGTGTGAAACATTACTTAAATTTTGTTTTGGCACTGACCAATAAACAAAATATTCTACTAAGCGATAGTTTTGGGCAGCTTTCTTGACACGAAATACTTTCTGGGCTCGAAAAACGATCGAGGCATCGGAAAATCAGAGTGAAACAATATTGAGGGAGATAAAGACATATGACATAAAGTTATTCCATGAAAAAGTTAAAGAAACTGATTTTGTATGGAGTCCTTACCTCAACTGTAATTAATGTTTTACTGAGAAAACAGAAAATAAGTTCTACTCGTACGCAAGGCTTCAACTAAAATTTGTTCTTAGAACTGCTCTTGACCGTGTATTCTTAGAACTGCTCTTGACCGTGTAATAACCGAGTTAAAGACAGTGACGCATTGACAAAATTTCGTCCTGCAATAAGCAACAGTTTATCAACACAGTCAGGACTGGTCGGCCCATCACGGAGCGGGACAGTAATGGGACAATCGTTGAGGGGCGTCCCTGACCGCCCGCAGTCTTTTGGTGTCCCGGGCATCAAAACACAAATTATTTTTTTGTCTGATGAATGCTATAAATTGCCGTGGTTTAAGCGGCACTGTGTCCGCGCTAAACCTACACAACATTTGAACACTTACGTAAATTTATATGGCATTTAGCAAACGCGAAAATAATTCATTAGGTACTGCGAACAAGTAGGGAAAAAATTAGCGAGAACGAACTATCTAAAACTGACATGATAACTGCTCTTTCGTGCTTTACTTTGATTGAAACGTTTTGGTGATAATACAGTAAAGCATGGGAGGAAGTTAGACTGTTTAATTTATTTTAAAATCGATAAATGCTTGCAATACATATCGATGAAACCAAAACGTCATATGACATCACCAGGGCTTAGAAAACCAGATATTCATTTCTAAAAAGAATGAAGTCAACTATGGGGTCAAGTCAGCGGTTTGGAAAGGGAAAACATAGATTCCAGGGGATTAAATGTTGCCATAACAATGAAACATAAAGTTTATTCGAGGGAGGTAAAAAGTACCCTATTAGCGAACCACAAGTCTTACTGGATGTGTTGAAAAAACACCTTAACTTTGATCCACTAACTCGAGAAAAAAAACTGGGCGCAAGAAGAACTGACTAATTAAACATGAGACTAAGTTTGAGTTAAGATATAACTCCGCTAATCTACTTAAATTTAGTGATGATTTAGCAGGGAGGAAAAATGTTCATCTCTAGACACTAAGATATGCGACAGCTATGGATTAAAAAATTATAAAAATTTTTGATCAGATGGAGAATTACCACGATTATACCTGCATTTGAATCAATACACCATGGTATTACCATGCGTAAGAATAAATACTTGAACGCAATACCACGAATAAACGCAATACCATGCGTTTGGATAAATACTTACTGCAAAGCTATCAATTATAAAAATTATGGAATCATCCGGCTTAATGTAAAACAAGAAAACTTGCGAAACATAACGTTAATGTTTCGTCAGAACGCAACACAAATATACAAGCTGGAACAGCATAAAATTTTATCATCACTTATATTATTTCAAATATCAAAATATTTTTGCTCAGGATTCTAATAAGAACTGAATCCTGGAAAAATGTGAGAGGAACATTTCATTCGAGAAATCATGTTGAAATTTTTCAGTAGTGTCATATTTCGGCCACAAATTTTCCACTCAATAACGAATGTAAATTCTTTTATTTCAAATATTCACAAGTTTATGAATTTCCGCACTCTAGACTTTATACGCCATTATTCTCTATTCATTAGAATATTTGTGTAAGATATATGTCAACCATTAAATATCGTCCATTAAATATCGTCCATTAAATATCAACCATCAAATATCAACCATTATATAAACCATTAAATATCAACCAATAAATATAGATTTTCCGATTAAGCTTAGCCGAAGTGTTGGTGATTCTTTTATGGCATCATTAGTTTCAAATGATGTTCAGTTTAATATAAAGGAGGCTTGTTGCGGGAACCGTTATGTAGCTTCGACCGGGAATGTTACACACCAGGGCAGGTACTTTCAAATATTGCCAAGTGGACGTAACTTCTTGAACTTAAGCTCAAGAAGATACGCCGAGCGTACGATCAGCGGATTTTGGCACCTTCAAAACTTCCGTACGACCACTTAGCTAAAGGCGTACTTTCAAAACACTCCGGCTCTCAGCCAATCAGCGTGCTGGGTTTTGTTTACTTTTTTAAGTCGGATTACGCGGAGCATCAATGTCTAATGAATCATGATTTCACAATTTTTAGCTATTATCTAGGCACTGAGACAGCGGTTTAGAAATTTGACGCCTGTAGATGTCTTGTTTTAATTTCAAAATTAATAAATTATTTTGATTTTAAAAGTATGAGCTTCCGAAGTGTAATTTGCAGCAGGAGCCCAATCAACCCATGAGATTGTGACTGAGAGGGACAGGCTGCCTCATGCCCATGGTTGAAATATATATAAATACTAAATACTAGTTCAACCATGGACTGTCGAGCCTGTTTCAGTATCAAACTTAGAGTCTATGTTTTATGTTTTAACCACATATAATTTGCTTGTGACTAAAAGTGGATTGATTTCATCAATTAATGAAATTTGGCAATTAATAAGCCAATTAGGATAGCTAGGTAGGTATGTGTCAAATCTCAAAGCAGCTCCAACTTGTGCAAATGTGTTTTATTATCTGAAATTGTTTATTTAGTCTGACTTCTGACAGTACACTAAGCTCAAGTGGATGAAATTTTTTTTTGCTATGAGTAAGTGTTAACATATGTAGGTATATTTTTCTAAATAATTGAATTAT